CATCTTTAAAGTATAACTAAAGGCAAATCTTTTTAGAGTGGAGAGGGACTAAAACACCTGTCCGGATTGGTATTGCTGTCTGTGCCCCCATTATCGCTGAAAGTGAAAGAAAATACCCAATTTCTGGTTGTCCCTAGAACAGAAATAGGAGGAAAATCTACTAATGGGGACATGAATTCCACTGACCCTGGTGACAACAAGGGATTCTATCACTTTGGAGGGATTTCCTCTTCTGTTTTGGCTATGGGAGAGGAAGTGATAAGAAAGCTCCCCAATGGGACACAGATGGACAAAAAAAAAAAATGTCAGGGGTTATAGCCCTCCCTTAATCTATTTAGAATGGAAAAAAAAAAGTTTTTCCTTTAGTTCCACTTTAATCTAGGTGTCGGCAAGTTAGGCAGAGATGTTGGGGAACCTTCTATCGAATGTACAAACATCAGCCACAACCTGTCCTCAAGTTCAGGCAGCCCAGACTTACCCTAGGTTCACATCTGTGCGGGTGGTACCGCTGGGGATCTGCATGAAAATCCATGCAGCCGCACCAGCCGCACAGAGGAATGCGGACCCGCGGGTGGGTGCCATTAGTTCTAATGGCACGCCGCCCACACTGGGAAACGCAACCGTACTGGGAACCGAGGGTCCCCGTGCGGGCTGCGTTTTCCAAAGAAGTGCAGGGACTTCTTTCCCTGCGTGTCACGGGCACGGGACTCCATTCAAATGAATGGGCTCTCGTGCCCATGCAAAACACGGCCCGCACGGCCGCAGAGATGTGAACCGGGGGTTAAGCTGCTCCTAGAACAATCGAATCTCGGCTGGTTCAGCAGGGACCAGCTGAGATTCGATCCACCTACGGGCAGGCTGGTTGTACTGATTGAAGTCCATCAATCGAGTTCAATACAACCAGCCTGGATTTTTTTTGTACACAGTAATGCTGGCTGTCAGCAGTGATCATTGTGTTGTGCCAGCCGCGAAGGTTCCCCACCGGCAGAAAACAATAGCTCCATGGGAAGCATTCCCTACTCAAAGCTGACTGTATTGATGGGGGGAATCAAGCGATTTTCTTTACTTCCACCCATGATGGATGGAAAGAAAATTGTATCATCTACGGCCTGCCTTAGTTCATAAATACATATAGCAAAATCACACCAGCTGTTGGAATACAGTTGAAGTAGTCATATAATAGATGTATACCCATACAATTGAACTCATTATGTATCCAGACTTTTCCTCTGAATTCTGATCAGACAGATCTGCAAAATGAATCTAAGATGACCAAATCTGTGAGATGACTGGCCAGTGTATGGGTAATAAAAAGAGAGGGATAGGTGCAGCGCTTAAATCATATGCATAGTAAAATAAAGTGTGCTCTACCCAATATGTAACGAATTTTATCTTCCGATCCTAGAGGATGGTACGGAGGTTCTGAATGTGTTTTTGATGCCGGAGATTATTCTGCTGATTTTTACTTCCTCTACATGCGTTATTGTTTACGCAATTCTGGTGACGTGTGCATTCCGATGGAGTTAGTCGCCATGTTCCACCATTGGTATCCCATTTGAATCTACTCTTTGATAAAGATGTTTGGATTGATGATTTATATATGCAGGTCCACTGCTTTTTACTTAATAATAAAAAGTGTGGCTGCATACACGTCTCATCATCTATCTCTGCATCGACATCTGTTTTCCCAACAACATCTGTGTGTCTGTCTGTTTTTACTACTGCCTGATTAAGCTGGACCTGATGGCACCGGCACCCACACGGCTCTGCCCGGACAGTCCCCTTGAAGCAGATTTGCACATAGTCCGGCACTTCCAGTTTTTGTTTTTTTTTTGCACCTATCCCTCTTTTTTTATAAATGTTTGATCATTTTTTTTTGTGCAGCTGGACTGTGCCGTGTTTTGCACATTCCCTACTAATCAAACAGTTGCTGTCAGCAGTTGTTTAGTTCTCATTCATTCTGGATTAAAAAAAAAAAAAAAAAAAAAGACTTCATCCATGAAAAATAATTGTTTTAGATGTTGCTTAAACCAGTGACATTACACGATGAAACGTGTGAGATGGTCCAGTGCAGCCCTGACCTCCATTCTATAAAAGCTGGAGAGCTGAAGAAGCATAGTAATGGGCGGGACTGCGTGTTACATTAGGGTGTGTCCTGTGTTGTTCAATAAAGTTTATTGAATGCATTTGTGCATCACTTGGTATGAAAAACACATTCTAATGTCAATGCCTAACATAACTTTTTATAGTCAATATTTATTTTTCATTTTTTCATATTCACTTCCATATGTTATTTGCTAATCCACCAGCCAAAACTTTTTTTTTTCAGTTCACAAAGCTCTGGTTCACACATTTGCAGTGCAATACCACATACTCAATGTGTGGTACAGTAGGGAAGCCCAGCTTTTGTAGCCCCTTTGCACCGGCGCCTCCCGGCCCTTTAAGGGTTTCAGAAGCCAGGAGGCGGGGCGGGGTTTAGAGTCATGTGACCGCCGTGACACGCCGTCACATAATCGGGAAAGGTCCCGATCGAAAGAGGAGATCGGGACCTTATCGTGAGTACCAGACATGTGTGCTGGGAGCGTGCACTCTCAGCACATATGTTCTTTTTTAAAAGAACGCAAATGTGCGGTCACTCGGCATCTAGGCCCAGACGCCGGGAAGGCCACACATTTGCGTTCGGCCGGCGTGAAGAGGTTAAAAACAGTGCACCACAGTCCATAGATGATTCACATCTGCGCATTTTGGTGCAATGAAACACAGGTTTGTAGTAGGCTGAGGATGCCATAAGCAGCGGTTTCTCTTCTCAGAGGTCCAACATACCCCCTGCTGAGTCAAAGCTAGAGCTCTCTAATAAGCAGGATGCATATGCTCTGCTGAAAGCAGAGCTACAGGTTTAACTCAGCAGGGACATACTGGACCTCTGAAGAGAGACCGCTGCTTCCACACAGAAAGCAAGGATCCCTCACTGCAGCATGCTGGCAGGGGATAGGCTTTTCTTCTCAGACTGTGGCTGCTCTCTAAAGAAAGCAAACTGTAAGACTTTGCACATCTTTTGTTTTGATCAACCTGGAATGTATTTAGCAGATTCAAACTAAACGTTCAATCAAACTGTTAACAGTGAGGTGGTTTGAAGTGACTGCTTCAGAGGATAGAAAAAGAAGACATTTTTCTGCAGCTCCACCTTTAGGTTTGCCGATATTTCATTTTAAAAAAAAAAAAAAGCCATTTAAAGTCCAACTCTGGGCAAAAAAAAAGTTTTTTTCCCATGCAGTGGGGCTGTTCCTGCACTGCATGGGTTAACTGCTTGAGAGGAGATATGCTTACCTGCTCCACCCAGCACAAGCTGTTCTAACCCCCCCCCCCACACAAACACCAGTGGTCTTAAATAGTGGACTGTTCCTGATGTCATAATGCACAGAGCAGGCTCCACAGACCAGGAACAGTCCACTGCAGGACTAGTGGTGGGGGGAGTGCCTTTTCCAGTGGAACGAAGGATCGTGTGAGTATAAACTTTCTCTTCACCTGCAGACAAAATGAGTAAGCAACCTATGCAGTGCGGGCACAGCCCCACTGCATGGAGAACACTTTTTGTTTGGCCCGGAGATGGGGTTTAACTATATTCATGAGTTGTCTGTTGATGCCAACTTTTTCCATTCTTACCACAATAGTCAAGATTTGTCAATAAATTCCATGAACATAAGAAAAGTATTCTGCATTCACCAATAGATATGACAAACCGTGACAAAACCACAATATTAAATACTGCTTTAGTTGAATAGGTGGGGCACAATTCATAAAAACAAACAAAATGTCTTTATAAATTATGCAAACTTATTTTACATATGGTATGGATGTACACCTAAAGAGAACCAGTCGGCATCTGTAACAATCTGAATCTCTACACTCGAATTGTTATAATAGCAGAGCCTTTTCTCTCAGAGACTGGTTTTGATGATCTTCTAGTATTCTCTCCTTCTCAAGAGTGTCGGGCTGTAAGGTTGTCCTTTCACCTGCCTGAGATCAGTGCTGATAACACACTGAGAAGGCTGTAAGGTTGTCCTTTCACCTGCCTGAGATCAGTGCTGATAACACACTGAGAAGGCAGTAAGGTTGACCTTTCACCTGCCTGAGATCAGTGCTGATCACAGACACTGAGAAGGCAGTAAAGGTTGTCCTTTCACCTGCCTGAGATCAGTGCTGATAACAGACACTGAGAAGGCTGTAAGGTTGTCCTTTTCACCTGCCTGAGATCAGTGCTGATAAGACACTGAGAAGGCTGTAAAACCTTTAAGCCTGAGATCAGTGCTGATAACACACTGAGAAGGCAGTAAGGTTGTCCTTTCAACCTGCCTGAGATCAGTGCTGATAACAGAAACTGAGAGCAGTAAGGTTTGTCTTTTCACCTGCCTGAGATCAGTGCTGATAACAGACATGAGAAGGCTGTAAGGTTGTCCTTTCACCTGCCTGAGATCAGTGCTGATAACACACTGAGAAGGCTGTAAGGTTGTCCTTTCACCTGCCTGAGATCAGTGCTGATAACAGACACTGAGAAGGCTGTAAGGTTGTCCTTTCACCTGCCTGAGATCAGTGCTAACAGACACTGAGAAAACTGTTATGTAACAAAAGCAGCAACTCTAGCAGTGTAGACAACGCGCGTCAACAGCCCTAAGATCAGATGTCAGTGTCCATGGGGGCTTTTAACATGACATGATTTCTGCATTGACAGGGAGAGAATTCAGGTGAATAACAAAACACACACTTATCCCTGGGAGGTACGACGGCACTATTATAACTATATAAACACATCCCCCTCATGTGGTGTAATCATTTCAAAGTGATCCAACTTTTCAGCTGGGGTTATCTTTCCAAACTGAAATTCTGACATTTTTCTCTACTTCAGAACAAAAGTCTCTTTCTTTGGTTGACTGTGTTTGTAACCCAGCAAGGTGGCATTGAAAGCCAGATCTTTTGCTGAGGGCTCATGTAATCAGTTTGTGTCAGCCCAACACGCTGTCATTAAATGCTAGACAGACCACGCTTTCTGTGCCCGCTGTATTCTCTCTTGATCTCGCCGGTCTCTACGCACCACAGCCGAGCCAGGTTATCTGATGATGCTGCAGGAGGAAACAGAGAATTTTATACTAAAACAAATGATTTATATATTTTTTTTTAATTACTTGAAAAGCATGAAGCCAAAGGGTTGGTTTTTCAGTTCAGCTATAGATTTATTAAAGTGGAAGGCAAGTCAAAACCTAACTAAGCTTAAATCTACTCTCGACCCCATTCTAAGCCTACTCTGTCTACCCTGTGAAAGGAAAGATGCCTATACTTACTATTGTGAAGTCACTCTGGTCAGATAACATGATCTCTCCAGCGTCAGCTTCAGTGCAGAGGAGACATCACCAACAACGGCTGCAAAGCCTATGCAGTGATATCACCCATAGGCTTACTATGGGGGCATCCGTTGTTGGCTGTCTCTCTTCCAAACTGAAGCTGGCACTGGGACCTGATCATGTGACCAGACCGGAGCACCCTCAGAATAGGTAAGTATGGGCATCTTTCCTTTTACAGGGTAGATAGAGAAGACTTAGAATGGGGGTGGGAGTAGATTTAAACTTAGGTGTTCCCTTGCCTTCCACTTAAACCTATATACAGTATATATCTGTAAGATAGCATGAAGAACGGTGAAAGATTATGTGATAGCCACACTTAAGTGTAACTCCAGCCAAAGAGTTAATAAACGTGGGAAATGGAAACATGTTAACAATTTTACATAGCATAATATGTTTTGCAGCTTCCGGTGTCACATGCCTGTCCATCAGACTATAAAAAGACAATCTTAAAGTGTTACTAAACCCAGGCCCTGCATTCACTATATCTGTCTCTCCCGGACCCTGCATTCACTATATCTGGTCTCCCCTTGGACCCTGCATTCACTATATCTGGTCTCCCCGGACCCTGCATTCACTATATCTGGTCTCCCCGGACCCTGCATTCACTATATCTGGTCTCCCCGGACCCTGCATTCACTATATCTGGTCTCCCCGGACCTTGCATTCACTATATCCGGTCTTCCCGTTCCCTGCAATTTATATATCTGGTCTCCCGGACCCTGCATTCCCTATATCTGGTCTCCCCGGACCCTGCATTCACTATATCCGGTCTCCCCGGACCCTGCATTCACTATATCCGGTCTCCCCGGACCCTGCATTCACTATATCCGTCTCCCCGGACCCTGCATTCACTATATCCGGTCTCCCCGGACCCTGCATTCACTATATCCGGTCTCCCCGGGCCCTGCATTCACTATATCCGGTCTCCCCGGACCCTGCATTCACTATATCCGGTCTCCCCGGACCCTGCATTCACTATATCCGGTCTCCCCAGACCCTGCATTCACTATATCTGGTCTCCTTGGACCCTGCATTCACTATATCGGTCTCCCCAGACCCTGCATTCACTATATCTGGTCTCCCCGGACCCTGCATTCACTATATCTGGTCTCCCCGGACCCTGCATTCACTATATCTGGTCTCCCCGGACCCTGCATTCCCTATATCCGGTCTCCCTGGACCCTGCATTCACTATATCTGGTCTCCCGGACCCTGCATGCCCTATATCTGGTCTCCCTGGACCCTGCATTCACTATATCCGGTCTCCCTGGACCCTGCAATCACTATATCTGGTCTCCCTGGACCCTGCATTCACTATACCTGGTCTCCCACAGTACACACAACATGCAAGTGCAATTATTTTAGTAAATATAAACTGCTAAATACCTTGTGACTTCTATCAGTGACCAGCAGAGCACTGGTTAAAGCTTGTAGGAGGAGTTTTCATTCTGCTCTAGGAAGATGTAGAACCCCTGACCTGTCTGGACAGTGATTGGCCCTGTGCTGATCACACGCACGCTCCCTCTCTAGCAATACACACCAAACTGACTCCACCCCATATGTCTTATCAGGAGATGAGGGAGACACTGGAAGAAGGGGAGGATCAGAGAAGTCAGGATCCAACAGCCTTTTTACACAATGCAGATGATTAACCCCTTAGGTTCCACAGTGAGTATAACAAGCATGCTTTACTGCATATACAGACTGATTTTACCGTTGTGGGTTTAGTAACACTTTAATATGTGTAATGTAAAATGCCCAAGCACCTCCCCCTCAAGTGTCCGATGCCTGAATACACTGCCACACAATGGTTTAATTACTGCTCATTCTCGCAAAGCCTTTGAGCGATCATTGAAAAAAAAATACATTCGATGTGCAGTAAGCACTGCAATGCCCCTACGTTGTAGGACTCTGGAACGCACTGTAACACATTACTATACATTTCTGCTCAGTGAGATAGGCCGGCCATACATGGGTCAATTTTCTAAAGATTTTTCGTTCGAAAATCATACCTAACAATAATCGGCCAATTTTTGCTCTGTTAGTGGGGCAATGGCACTGGTCGATTTTCGTGGTCCCTCCAAATTTCGTTTATCAGGCATGCTGGAAAATTCATATAAAACAACCGATTTTCGAAATGATTGGTGGCACCATCGGAATAAAGAATGAACAATGTTTTAGATCGAAGAATCGTTCGGAATTCGACCCATGTAAGGCCTGCTTTACCAAAAATGTTGCAGGTGTGATAATCCATTGATTATAGTGTGTTGGCAGCTCATTCAAATTAATGGTCTATTAACATAACATGCGTTAATCTAAAATAGAATACAGTTGGCACGGTGTAAACGAGTCCCTACTCTAATTGCTTAAAATTGTTAGCTGGAGTTAAGCTTTAATTTGTCTATTTCCTAACCTCCCTAGCAGTCTGATTATGTCCATATTTCTGTGCTCAAAGCAGTACATTTTTGAAATATGTCATTTTTTTATTGTAGGCCTGTAATTTTTAGGAATAACTCACTGAAATCTGTCCGAACAAGAGTCTAGTAAACATCCCGGGTAGGATAAAACTTGAAACACGAAATCATAAATTATAATTTAATAAATAATCATAAAAAAAATAATATAATAAATGTAATTCAATAATATAATCAAACCAAAAACACTGAAATTTGAAATATAGCGCCAAGTTCGCACATCGCTGAGCAAAGTCGCAGAATCGTTTTCAGTGTCTGATGACGAATTTCCCCCACGAATCATTATCACTGAATTCTGCAAGTGGTTCTGATTTACTATCGCTGTTCTCTAGCCGGTCTAAACCCGCTTTTGACCTAAAGGGACGCTTTTTGGACTCCATGGACGTTTCTCAGTTTCCAGGCAGAAAGAACAGTAAAAATGCAGGCAGGGCACAGGACAAAGCACTAGGGACAAAATGTATGTGAAATGGTTTGATACAGGAATGTTTTACTATGTGATTTTAGTGTATTCAGTGAATGTCACTTTTTGACATTTTCAAATTTCCCGCAGGTTACGTCCCCCGTACGTCCCGACGTCGCAGGGGACGGAACCCAGAAGACTGATGCCGGCATCGGCCGGAGGAGATGGCCGGGGACAATGCAGGAGGGACATCGTGGGAGCGCAGGACAAGGTAAGTGCTGGAGGGATCCCTGAGCAATGCTGCAGTGTAATCCCGAGTGTAGCTCGTTGTTACCGTTTGTGGTGCTGAAATTTTCCCCCGAGCTACACTCAGGAATACCTCCAGGGAGGTTAAAGTCTATCAAAGACTACTCTGTCCACACGGTGACAACCCTACAGTGATTTCACAGCAGAATGCACAGCATTGTCACCATTTAAGAAAGTGAAAAAAAACAGATCTACTGGCAGGATCAACAGGTAATAAAGCCATGTTACAGGGGACCCAGAAAAACAAAGCCTGCTGCAGTAGCACTCGTGACAAGCTGTATTCATTTTTTTTATTTTTTCTCACAGTTCCACTTTAAGCAGATTATTTCTGTACCTGTAACAATGTACTGCGAGTCCCCGGAAAAGGCACAGTCCCACATCCAGCCTCTTGATGTCTCTCCGGGGTTGTTACTCTTTATACTCAGCTCTGTCATCAGTGAGAAGTTGGAGGTCCTCCAGATCTTGCAGGTCTGATCAGCTGAGCATGTGGCCAGGAGTCTGCAAAAAGGAACAGATGCTGAACTCTCCAACACGTACAATGGGCGGAAGTGCAGTATATTATTCTTGTTTTTCCTGTGTTCTACTGGCAACAGCTATAAAAACAGAAGATCAGCTCCTCCCCAAAAAAACTATCAATTCTCAATCTGTCAACTAGTGTCTATCATTCCTTTTCTAACAAAAACAAGGTGCCAGAAAGACAGACAAGCAAATATTTTTCTATAGCAAAGTGACAGGTTTTCTTAAAGCGGAGCCCCAACCCAAAAGGGGAAGTTCCGCTTTAAAGACTGCTCCCCCACTCCCCATTAAGGATTGGCACCTTTGGGGGGCGGGAGTGGGTACTCGAATTTGACAGGTACCAGCTGCCATGTCCGGTCCAATCGCCTAGGCAATCGGAAGTGGAAGGTGTCCTCCCTCCCTCCCTGTAGTATTTTGGACACGTGACAGGACCTAGAAGACTACAGGATCATTCATGAAGTGCAGCGCTACTCACGCAAGCGCAGTGGGTACCCGGCTGTGAAGCACTATCACAGCCGGATGCCCACACTGAAGATGCCGGGCCTCCTGGAACACAGGACAGCCAGTGAAACGGGGACAAACCATGGGACCCGAGGGACAGGTAAGTGGCTGTTTTTTAAAAGTCAGCAGCTACAGTTTTTTTACAGGTTGAGTGGAACTCCACTTTAATAACTCTTCCCCTCCTGCTGATTCTCACCTTTAGCACTGGTTTAACCTTGCTTCCAAATATGGCATTGGACAGACTTTTTTTTTTAAGCACTCAATGCCAATCACAGCCCCTGTCACTACATAAAATGGGATGCTTACAGTCCTGTTTACACTTGCGTTTGCTTTGCTTCAAAAATTATACCTCATGCCGATTTCTTGGTGCTTCAAAGTATCTCCAAAGCCTCCTTAGGGGTCTATGACAAAGCTCACTTACAGCACCTGCAGCGTTGGACAGCCTTTCATTGAGCTTTAGCTTCACTTTGTCTTTTAGGTATTGCAGGTGTGACATATCCCAGGATGCAATGGGAAACCAACAAGTGAACTGGAAAGACATAATCAGCAGTCACTTCTGGTTCATGTGTATATATTCTGGTAGTGTCTGATGCAGAAGTCATATCTGGCATGCAGCGTGAAGCAGCAGAAAGGCGAGTGAGGTCCAGACTGGAGTAAGTAGCAGAGGGCACAAGTGGTGTGCAACATGGGAATGCTATAGCAGAAGGTGAGCGAGGACTGAGGGGCAGATGATCAGCAGAGATGGGGGAACGCAGCAGGAGAAACTAGCAGATGTCACACATGGTGCAGTGTGGGAGCAATATAGTGGGAGGTGAACGGGGACCAGAAAGAGAGGATGATCAGCAAACCAGAGGATCAGCAGAGCTGGGGGTTAATACTGACAGGGGATCAGCAGAGCTGGGGGTTAATACTGACAGGGGATCAGCAGAGCTGTGGGTTACCTCCAAGTGGGGGATCGGTAGAGCTGGGGGTTACTTCCAAGTGGGGAATCGGTAGAGCTGGGGGTTACTTCAAAGTGGGGGATCGGTAGAGCTGGGGGTTACTTCCAAGTGGGGGAGCAGCAAAGCTGTGGGTTACTTCCAAGTGGGGGAGCAGCAAAGCTGGGGGAAATTAATTAATGGGGGATCAATAGAGCTGGGGGTTACTACTGAGGTGGGATCAGCAGAGCTGGGGGTTACTTCCAAGTGGGGGATCGGTAGAGCTGGGGGTTACGTTCAAGTGGGGGAGCAGCAAAGGTGGGGGAAATTAATGAATGGGGGATCAATAGAGCTGGGGGTTACTACAGAGCTGGGGGTTACTTCCAAGTGGGGGAGTAGCAAAGCTGGGGGAAATTAATGAATGGGGGATCAATAGAGCTGGGGGTTACTACTGAAGGGGATCAGCAGAGCTGGCGGTTACTACAAAGTTGGGGATCAGCAAAGCGTCAGGTTATTATTGAGCAGGGGACCAGCATAGCTGGAGGTTACAACTGAGTGGGGCATCAGCAGAGCTGGGGGCAGGGGATCTGCTGAAGGAGGGTACTAATAAGCTTGGGATCTGCTGAAGGAGGGTACCAATGAGCTGGGGATCTGCTGAACAGGGATACTAGAGAGCTGGGGGATCTGCTGAGTGAAGGTACCACTGAGCTGAGGTTCTACTGAGCCCCTTTTAAAACAAATTGAAAATCAACACAAACAGGGCATTTGCCAAGCTTTATTAAAGCTTCAAAAAAGCATAACCGAAGCATCAAAAAAACATGAAAAAAGCATGATGAAGCGCTATGCACGTTAATGTCCAAGCAAGTGTAAATGAGCCCTTACTGTTCTCCCTTGTCAGATGGGAAAGGGGAAAAAATCCTCAGCCCTGATTACGTTTTGACGCAGAGCTTACACAGGGATCAGACATAGGGATTTGGCAACAAACAAGGCAGTGTAGGGAAGATGGGCTATCAAGTGAACTTTTCCAATGAATGGGCAACGTGTCAGGCTCCTTCTATAGGCATTTTAGAACCTAACTGAACACCTAGACTGTATTAAACTAAAAGTTCAATTGGCCTTTATTGCTGGCTTCACATCTTTGTGTTTCCGTCATCCATTTTCTTAAATGATGTGCTCAGCATCTAGAAAAGTGTGAGAAGAGCCTATCATTTCCCACATGTAGCTAGGCCAACAGCACATGTCCTGTTGTTATAGGCAAGACTCAGCATCCCTGCATTTGCAGTGCATGTACCCTTTGTTCTCATGCACTCCTGTTGACTTTTATGGGTCCCTCGACGCACATTAACTGATGAAAAAATACTAAATTAACAACTTCCCATCCGGCCCATGTACATAAACGGCCGGACGGGAGCAGTGCACGAGCGGGTTGCCGTTCATAAACGGCGCTCGCATTTACAGGCTGTGTGCGCTCCCTAGGAGCGTGCAGCACTGCAATCCGGTGCCCGCTGTGTTCGATCGATGTACGGGACCTCTGCGTGAGGTCTCGATCATGTGATCACTGATTGGCCAATCAGTGATCACATGAATAGTAGTAAGCAAGATGTCACTGCTGACATCATTGCTTGCTACTAGTGAAATCTGTGAATGATCACAGAAATCACATGGTACAAGGCTATTCACAACAGCCTTGTACCATGTGACAAGCTGTGACCAATCACAGCTCACACAGTATTTCTCAATGGCTGCAAGAATGCAGCCAGAGAGAAGGATAAATGATTGCTTTTACAGCCTTTATGGGTGTAAAAGCAATCAGTGTACGAAAAAAAAAATCTTCATCACCCCCCACAAGTAGTACAGTGTCACTATGATGACACTATACTGCTAAGGTGACGGTATGGTAAAAAAAAAAACATAAGTAAAAATATAAAAAAAAATAAAAATGTAAAGAAAATGTTTTTAAAAATTATAATTTTTGGTTAGAAACTAATTTGGCTTATTTTTTTTTTACTAAAATGATAACTGAATACATTTTAGATAAGATTTATGAAGAAAGATTATTGATTTGCAAAATTTTATAAGAAAAACACTTTTTTCTAAATTTTTGGACATTTTCATTTGTATAGCAAAAAAAAAAAATAAAAATCCCAGTTGTGAATAAATACCACCAAAATAAAGTTTTATCTGTTTCAAAAAAATGCAAAAAAATTAATATGGGTACAGTGTTGCATGACCGCGCAACTGTCATTCAACGTGTGATAGCATTGAAAGCTGAAAATCGGCCTGGACAGGAAGGGGGTAAAAGTGTCCGGACTGGAAGGGGGTAAAAGTGTCCGGACTGGAAGGGGGTAAAAGTGTCCGGACATGAAGTGGTTAAAACATTTTTCAATGACGTACCTCAACACGACGCAAATATGTGAACCAGATCCATGAAAACATTGGGATGCCAGGTAACATGCATTTTGATGCATGATAATACTGACACATAGGTTTGGATTGGACCTAAATGAAACCTGCACTGAAGGAAATATACCGACCGGTACTGATGACCTCCCTGGCTCCGATGCGTTGATTTACCTATCAAGATCAAGTCAGAACTCTTGGGTCTGTGTATGTCCTCTGGATCAGTGATTGTGAATCAGCACAACCGCAAGGCAACTAGAATTTTCAAAATGAAGTTCCCAATTACTATAGATATAATACTGACTTTAAAATTCGTCACTCCTCTGTGAATGAGAAACTACAGCCTTGGTGGCGGTTGGCTTGTAGTTCTCCATGAACAGCCACGACGCTGTGGAGCACCATGGAGTTCATTGAATCTTCCTTTCAGTATATCTGCTTGCTCATACATCTTGTTCATTCTTCTAGAATGTAACAATGGACAACATAGACACTTTCCTTTCAAACATTTGTTATATGAGCTCCTCAAAGGCAGTGCTGTCACTTTTGTGCTGCTCACTGTTCTCCTCGCTGGGGAGCCCTGCAGTGTAGGGATCTCCTCTCTCTGCGTTTCCTCCCCTGTTGCTTCATCTTTATTCTCCCACGAGTCATCAGGTCATTGGGGTAGGGGGGTTGCTCTCACATGAGGAAGCAGAGCCTTACCTCTACTAAGATGGCCGCCTCCACATTGATCAGGCATGTGAAGTTACAGTTGTGGCCAAAATTATTCAACCCCCACTGAAATTGAGTGTTTTGGCCAGTTTGACATTGCTTTTGATCATTCAGTCATCATCTGTGCTTACATTTACATTAAAGAGGCACTTGTAGGTCAGACAAATATAACATAACAGTTATAATGAAATAACCACAAATGTCTTTTCTGTGCTCACACAGCATTATCAGTTTTATTCAACCCCCAAGTGACATTCAATCTTAGTACTTAGTACAGCATCCTTTTACAGTTATAACAGCTTTTAAACGTGAAGCATAGCTTGACACAAGTGTCTTGCAGCGATCTACGGGTATCTTCGCCCATTCTTCATGGGCAAAGGCCTCCAGTTCAGTCACATTCTTAGGCTTGCGCACTGCAAACTGCTTTCTTTAAGTCCCACCAGAGGTTCTCAATCGGATTTAAGTCTGGTGACTGCGATGGCCACTCCAAAATGTTCCAGCCTTTCCTCTGCAACCATGCTCTAGTGGACTTGGAGGTATGCTTGGGATCATTGTCCTGTTGAAAGGTCCAACGTCTCCCAAGCCTCAGGTGTGTGACGGACTGCATCACGTTTCCATCCAATATCTCCTGGTACTGAAGAGAATTCATGGTACCTTGCACACGCTGAAGCTTCCCTGTACCTGCAGAAGCAAAACAGCCCCAAAGCATGATTGACCCTCCACCATGCTTCACAGTAGGCAAGGTGTTCTTTTCATCATAGGCCTTGTTCTTCCTCCTCCAAACATAGCGTTGATCCATGGGCCCAAACAGTTCTAATTTTGTTTCATCAGTCCACAGAACACTATCCCACAACTTTTGTGGTTTGTCCACATGGCTTTTGGCATACTGCAGTCGACTCTTCTTATTCTTTGGAGACAGCAGGGGGTACGCCTGGGAGTTCTGGCACGGAGGCCTTCATTACGCAGTGTGCGTCTTATTGTCTGGGCTGAAACTTCTGTACCCACATCTGACAAATCTTTTCTCAGTTCCTCAGCAGTCACACGGGGACTTCTCTCCACTCTACGCTTCAGGTAGCGCGCACAGCAGTCGAAGTCAGCATCTTCTTTCTGCCACGACCAGGTAGCGTTTCAACAGTGCCCTTTGCCTTGAATTTGCGAATGATGCTTCCTAAGGTGTCTCTTGGTATGTTTAACATCTTTGCAATCTTCTTATAGCCATTGCCCTTCCTGTGAAGAGAAATCACCTCTTCTCTTGTCTTCCTGGACCATTCTCTTGCCTTCACCATGTTTGTAACCACACCAGTAAATGTCTAGAAGGAGCTGAGTATCACAGTCATTTTAAAGCTGCCTAATTGGTGCTTATTATGCTTGATTGCTGCTCGGTGACATCCACAGGTGTTTTCAATACCTGATGGAAAGCACCTGTATGAACCTCTGTTCTTCAGAGTGGTAGTCTTTAAGGGGTTGAATAATTGTGGCAATGAAGAAACCACATAAGAACCATTTACTACTGTATTACATAAACAATTGATGTCATTTTAGTTGCATTTGGGTAGTTACAACGTCCTTGTAGGATTTGATTCTGAATACAATTCCAAATGTACACTATAGTCCCTAAACCCCTTTACAGCATTGGGGGTTGAATAATTTTGGCCACAACTGTACATGCCTGATGAAGGGGTCAGCGAGACTCCGAAACGTTGCCTTGCTGTAACTATGTGATCGTTTATTAAAACTTTTGGACCCATATTAGTGATCCTCGGTGTGCTGGTGACATTCTCCTTTGCTAATTTTGTTCGTTTCCAGCAGTCGGTCGCTGCAGCACCCACTTATACACACAGCCATTTTTAACGCAGGAACGTGTGCGTTTGGATTGTACACTCGCCTCCACATTGATGAAGGGGTCCAGCGAGACTCCGAAACGTTGCCTTGCTGTAACTATGTGATCGTTTATTAAAACTTTTGGACCCATATTAGTGATCCTCGGTGTGCTGGTGACATTCTCCCTTGCTGATTCTGTTCGGTTCCAGCCGACGGTCGCTGCAGCACCCACTTATACACACAGACATTTTTAACGCAGGAACGTGTGCGCTTGAATTGTGCATTCGCCTCCACATCGAGACACAGCACAGAGCAAGGCATACAAAGACAGTAATGGGGGAGATTAGCTGCAGAGACTTTACTAGCAATACTGGTATTTACTCCTTTGTTCGCTTTCCTTTTTTGGCACAGCTTCTTTTAAAGCCTAAAGAGGTGAGTTTCCCTGTACATAAAGGTCTGGTATTGATGGTACTGCTGCCAGGCTCATCCACCTTACCAACCGTTCAGTGTCTGCTACCCCTCTCTGCTAATCCCTCCACTGGCCTCCATTCAGTGTCCTCCACCCCTCTCTGCCAAACCCTCCACTGGCCTCCATCCCTCTCTGCCAATCCCTCCACTGGCCTCCATTCAGTGTCCTCCACCCCTCTCTGCCAATCCCTCCACTGGCCTCCATTCAGTGTCCTCCACCCCTCTCTGCCAATCCCTCCACTGGCCTCCATTCAGTGTCCTCCATCCCTCTCTGCCAATCCCTCCACTGGCCTCCATCCCTCTCTGCCAATCCCTCCACTGGCCTCCATTCACTGTCCTCCACCCCTCTCTGCCAATCCCTCCACTGGCCTCCATTCAGTGTCCTCAACCCCTCTCTGCCAATCCCTCCACTGGCCTCCATTCAGTGTCCTCCACCCCTCTCTGCCAATCCCTCCACTGGCCTCCATTCAGTGTCCTCCACCCCTCTCTGCCAATCCCTCCACTGGCCTCCATTCACTGTCCTCCCCCCCTCTCTGCCAATCCCTCCACTGGCGTCCACTCAGTGTCCTCCACCCCTCTCTGCCAATCCCTCCACTGGCCTCCATTCAGTGTCCTCCACCCCCTCTCTGCCAATCCCTCCACTGGCGTCCACTCAGTGTCCTCCACCCCTCTCTGCCAATCCCTCCACTGGCCTCCATTCACTGTCCTCCACCCCTCTCTGCCAATCCCTCCACTGGCCTCCATTCAGTGTCCTCCACCCCTCTCTGCCAATCCCTCCACTGGCCTCCATTCACTGTCCTCCACCCCTCTCTGCCAATCCCTCCACTGGCCTCCATTCAGTGTCCTCCACCCCTCTCTGCCAATCCCTCCACTGGCCTCCATTCACTGTCCTCCACCCCTCTCTGCCAATCCCTCCACTGGCCTCCATTCACTGTCCTCCACCCCTCTCTGCCAATCCTTCCACTGGCCTCCATTCAGTGTCCTCCACCCCTCCCTGCCAATCTCTCCACTGGCCTCCACTCAGTGTCCTCCACCCCTCTCTGCCAATCCCTCCACTGGCTTCCACTCGCCCAACGAATAAAATTCAAAATACTAACAACAACTTACAAAGCCATCCACAACTCTGCCCCCAGCTACATCGCCAACCTGGTCTCTAAATATCAACCAAACCGCTCTCTTTGATCCTCCCAAGACCTTCTGTTCTCTAGGTCCCGTGTCACCTCCTCCCATACTCGCCTCCAGGACTTCTCCCGAGCTTCTCCCATCATATGGAACTCCCTACCCCAATCTGTCCGGCTGTCTCTTAATCTATCCACCTTTAGACGATCCCTGAAAACCTTTCTCTTTAAAGAAGTCTATCCTGCTTCTACCTAGTAAACCACCATTTATTTCCTCTATCAGCTCATCCCCCTCACAGCTATTACCTTTTGTATCACTCAACCCTTCCTCCTAGATTGTAAGCTCTAACGAGCCGGGCCCTCTGTTTCCTCTTGTACCAAATTGTATTGTAACTGTAATGTCTGCCTTCATTTTGTACAGCGCTGAGCAAACTGTTGGCACCATATAAATCCTGTATAATAATAATAATAATGTACAGCTAACATACTACAGACCATAGGCTCAGGCTGGCTTTACTCCACACCAGCTGACTATACACTTACGTGGAGTCAGGGCTGAATTTACATCGCAGCGCACAACGCTTGTGAGACGGAATTTTGGTTTTAGGGATAAGTTGTGTCAGGTCTTCTCCGAGGCCTCCTGTCAAGTTCCAAACAAAGCAGTTTCCCTGTAAGCAAAATCAATTTTATTAAATCACCTACATAACTTATATGAGAGAAAAGGCCACATTTATCAAAGTGCCCTGAATGCCCAACTCTGGAAAACCTAAAAGCCCATACCGCAAGGGTTAAAGTGTTTACTAAACCCACAACAGTACAATCAGTCTGTATATACTGTAAAGCATGCTTGTTATACTCACTGTGGAACCTAAGGGGTTAATCCTCTGCATTGTGTAAAAAGGCTGTTTGATCCTGTCTTCTATAATCCTCCCCTTCTACTGTCCCCAATCCATCTGCTGATAGAAGAACCTTGGGGGCAAGCTGCACATGCTCAGTTTTGTGTGTATTGCTATAGTTTTGTTTTTTTTCTTGAGTGCATGTGATCAGCACAGCGTCAATCAGCGCTGTCCAGAGAGAGGGTCAGGGGTTATGCAGCCACATAGAACAATCAGGGGAGAATGAAAACCCCTCCTACAAGCTTTAATCGGTGCTCACCAGACACTGATAGAAGTCACAAGACTGCTATATAATGCTGATGAGAAAAGGTACTTAGCAGTTTATATTTTCTAAAATAATTGCATTTCCATGTTCTGTGTGAGACCAGATATAGTGAATGCAGGGTCCTGGGAGACCAGATATAGTGAATGCAGGGTCCGGGGAGACCGGATAGAGTGAATGCAGGGTCCGGGGAGACCGGATAGAGTGAATGCAGGGTCCGGGGAGACCAGATACAGTGAATGCAGGGTCCGGGGAGGACCGGATATAGTGAATGCAGGGTCCGGGGAGACCGGATATAGTGAATGCAGGGTCCGGGGAGACCAGATAGAGTGAATGCAGGGTCCGGGGAGACCGGATAGAGTGAATGCAGGGTCCGGGGAGACCGGATAGAGTGAATGCAGGGTCCGGGGAGACCGGATAGAGTGAATGCAGGGTCCGGGGAGACCCGGATAGAGTGAATGCAGGGTCCGGGGAGACCAGATAGAGTGAATGCAGGGTCCGGGGAGACCAGATAGAGTGAATGCAGGGTCCGGGGAGACCGGATAGAGTGAATGCAGGGTCCGGGGAGACCGGATAGAGTGAATGCAGGGTCCGGGGGGAGACCGGATATAGTGAATGCAGGGTCCGGGGAGACCAGATATAGTGAATGCAGGGTCCGGGGAGACCGGATAGAGTGAATGCAGGGTCCGGGGAGACCGGATAGAGTGAATGCAGGGTCCGGGGAGACCAGATACAGTGAATGCAGGGTCCGGGGAGACCGGATATAGTGAATGCAGGGTCCGGGGAGACCGGATATAGTGAATGCAGGGTCCGGGGAGACCAGATAGAGTGAATGCAGGGTCCGGGGAGACCAGATATAGTGAATGCAGGGTCCGGGGAGACCGGGGGATAGAGTGAATGCAGGGTCCGGGGAGACCAGATAGAGTGAATGCAGGGTCCGGGGGAGACCAGATAGAGTGAATGCAGGGTCCGGGGAGACCAGATAGAGTGAATGCAGGGTCCGGGGAGACCGGATAGAGTGAATGCAGGGTCCGGGGAGACCGGATAGAGTGAATGCAGGGTCCGGGGAGACCGGATATAGTGAATGCAGGGTCCGGGGAGACCAGATATAGTGACTGCAGGGTCCGGGGAGACCGGATAGAGTGAATGCAGGGTCCGGGGAGACCGGATAGAGTGAATGCAGGGTCCGGGGAGACCAGATATAGTGAATGCAGGGTCCGGGGAGACCGGATATAGTGAATGCAGGGTCCGGGGAGACCGGATATAGTGAATGCAGGGTCCGGGGAGACCAGATATAGTGAATGTAGGGTCCGGGGAGACCAGATATAGTGAATGCAGGGTCTGGGGAGACCAGATATAGTGAATGCAGGGTCCGGGGAGAGCGGATATAGGATATAGTGAATGCTGGGTCTGGGGAGACCGGATATAGTGAATGCAGGGTCCGGGGAGACCGGATATAGTGAATGCAGGGTCTGGGGAGACCAGATATAGTGAATGCAGGGTCCGGGGAGACCAGATATAGTGAATGCAGGGTCCGGGGAGACCGGATAGAGTGAATGCAGGGTCCGGGGAGACCGGATACAGTGAATGCAGGGTCCGGGGAGACCGATATAGTGAATGCAGGGTCCGGGGAGACCGGATATAGTGAATGCAGGGTCCGGGGAGACCCAGGGTCCGGGGAGACCAGGATATAGTGAATGCAGGGTCCGGGGAGACCAGATATAGTGAATGCAGGGTCCGGGGAGACCAGATATAGTGAATGCAGGGTCTGGGGGAGAGCGGATATAGTGAATGCTGGGTCCGGGGAGAGCGGATATAGTGAATGCAGGGTCCGGGGAGAGCGGATATAGTGAATGCAGGGTCCGGGGTTTAGTAACACTAACTGCTTGTTTAAGTCTAAGGGACTTAAAAAGCAACCTGATCCTCCAATCCCCCGGCAGACAGCGCTCCCTCATGTTCTGGCAGTAGACTGTTCCTCAGCTTCCTCACATTCAATGCAGGGGCTATGGTCCCTGCATCAGTCTTGATGACATCAGAGGACCTTAGAAGCATAGAGGAGAAGAGGCTGGAGACACCTGTCTAGCAGCGCAAAGGAGCTCGCAGGAGCGGAGTATCAGGTGAGTAATAGTGCTTTACCAAGTCTTCTAGACAGTAACAGTTAACCCTTGCAGCACCAACAGATTCAAACCTGGCCTGGTAAATGATGGTTGGAAGAAGTATAGTTCTGACTGATGACTCTGAGGAAACAAACTAGTACTTTAGACACATTGATAAATGATGATCAAGAAAATCAAAGTGTAACTCCACTTTTGCTGCAAACAAATTACATCATTCTCAGCTGAATAATTCTAGACACTGCAGAGATTTCAGCAGATTTCTCTGTGTAGTCCTACATGCCGCTGTTTGCACTAACACTTACACATGGATGGCACTCACCTCAGATATCCTGAGTGGTGACTGGGAGGGTCTTCCTACTAAAATCGCATTATCAGTCCCAGCATTGTAATAAAAGAAAAACTGCAGGGATCAGCAATCATTAAAAAGAAATGACATTTTAGGGAGAGTTCTGTACATTCCCTCCTACAAGGAAGCCAGATTTCATTTTTTCTGCCACTTTTATAAATGAAAAGTGCCTCCAGATTAAACTAGAAATATATTTTGTAATAAAGCTGAACTTCAAGGAAATTTCAAAACTACCTTTGCATTTAAGTCAGTTTTTTCCGTTCACCCAGTGGTTTGAATGAAAAAATCTGACCAGGTTCCCCCATCCACACATTCGATGTGGAAGGGGGGAATCCTTCCCGCTTTGTTACTGTATTCTCACAGCGGGACTCTCCCATTGACAGAACACACAGATCAGCGCTTTAGCCTATTGCCTGCAGTGATGATCAAGCGAAAATATACCAACAAGTCAGTTGATCAGTAGATCAGTAGGACACCTTCTGTTCAACCACAGAGGCCATACATGGATCGAAATTCGTCCGGTCTCTGTTGAACCAGCTGAATATCAATCCATGTATCGCTAGCTTTACACTCCATATTGGTCCTGGTGACCACTGTCAGAGTGATGGGGAAATCCAAAATTTGGAGTTTGACTTATTCTGGTGACAACTGTGTAAAGAGGGCATTTACTGCACTGAAATTTTCTCTCATTACCTGTTGGGTCTACAGAACAGAAAGTCAAAGATGGCAAAAAAAAAAAAAAAACTGAAAGGGGATTTTAGCATTCCCAACCCTAAATATAAACGGTTTAGTCTGTAGATAATAAAAATTAGGGTTGCACTAATACCAATACCAGTATTGGTGCCGATACTAAGCATTTGCATGAGTATCGCTACTCGTGTAAATGCTGACACCTTCACGCTTGGTTCTTGCAGATGTCAGTGGGATTCCCCTGTTGACAGCTGAAATGTAAACAAAAAAATAAAGCCGGCAAAAATAAATAAAAAAAAAAGCAATTGCTGGTTGTTAAGGAGCGGGGCCACCGTGTGCCTGAATTTGACAGGCACCAGCTCCCACTTCCGGTGTGATCGCCTAGGCCAGGGTTAGGCAACCTGCAGCTCTCTAGTTGTTGTGGAACTACATTTCCCATGAGGCATTGCAAAGATTACAAAACTGACAGTTACAGCTATGACTTGCAGAGGCATGATGGAACTCAGGTTGCCTACCCCTGGCCTAGGCGATCGGAAGCGGAAGTTGTCCTCCCCCCTCCTACCCCGTAGTCTTCAGGGACATGTGACAGGTCCCAGAAGACTACGGGGCCATTCACAAAGCGCAGCGCTTCTCGCGCATGCGCAGTGGGCACCCTGCTGTGAAGCCGCAAGCTGTCACAGCCGGGTGCCCACACTAAAGATGCCGGCACCAGGGAGAGAAGATCTATGATTATATCAGGTGAATCTATGCATATATTAGCTGCTGACACTATGCCTAGATACTCAGCACCAGGGGTGGACTGACAACCACTTCAGGGAAGAGGAGAGAGCACTTAACAGCATGTGTGTGTATGCATGTGTGTGTATGTACCAGGGGCAGACTGACAACTCATGGGGCTCCCGGGCAATAGGGGATCATGGGGCCCCTGTGTCCTTGCCCAAACTCAAAAAAGCCTATGAAAAAGGTACCAGGGGCATCTCATGGGGCCCCTCACTGACTCCGGGCCCTCGGGCAGTGCCCGAGTTTCTAAATGGTCAGTCTGCCCCTGCTCAGCACAACAGATATAGATATATAACAAGTGCAGCGCTCACAAACCCAAAAGTAAAATGATAAAAATAAATAGCAATGAATAATAATCCTAGGATATTTTCATAGTCTATAGATATACTTTAATGATAGCTTCTATTAAATGTGTCCCTAGCTTAGACTCACTGAGCCGTTGACGGCAGCCATGTAACTGGCATCGGGGTCGATATGGACAGCGTTGACAGCTGCCTCGGCCTCAGGTATTAGCTGCTCGTTCTGGTCTGTTTTTAAGTCCCAGATGTGGATGGCACCGCTCTGATCTCCAACGATGAGTTCAGCCTGAAGAGAGACAGCAAATAAAAAAAGTATACAACTACTTAAAGGGTATGAATAAACAGTGAGAGCTAAAAGAGCTAATATTCATAAAATAACATTTACATACAATATCATCGACTAATGTTTTTTTCCCGTGCCTATATATTTTATGAATATGTTTATAAAGCCCATCTCACCATGTAGGTGGACAATGTTTCTATTTCTCTGTATACCAATTTTTCAAAAAATATTGAAAGATAAAATAATATTTACAAAAAATATAGGGAATCTATCATTTTGACAATTTATGACTATAGTCATCTGAACAGCTCATCCACTCCCTCATCATATCACGACTCGATTACTGCAACTCCTTCCTCACTGGCCTGCCTCGCCGCTGGCTATCCCCGCTTCAGTCGATCCTGAATACAGCTGCCAGACTCATCCACCTCACCAACCGCTCCATCTCCGCCACCCCCCTCTGCCAATCCCTCCACTGGCTTCCGATTGCGCAACGGATCAAATTCAAAATCCTAACACTGACGTACAAAGCTGTCCACCATACTGCCCCGTACTACATCACTGACCTAATATCCAAGTACCACCCAGCACGCACACTCCGCTCCTCACAAGACCTCCTTCTCTCTAGAGTTCCCTGGTCTCCTCCTCCTATGCCCGCCTCCAGGACTTCTCCAGGGTGTCACCCATCCTCTGGAACTCCCTGCCCCAACCCATCAGATTATCACCTACTCTCCTCTCCTTTAGGCGCACCCTGAAAACCCATCTCTTCAGGGAAGCCTACCCCACCCCCTGCTAACTTGCCGACCTCCTCCACTCTTCCTACCACTCCATCCCCCACACCCATCTCCTCCTGTACCACCATCCCCTCCCTCCTAGATTGTAAGCTACAAAGAGCAGGGCCCTCGATCCCCTCATGTTTTGCATTGTATTGGTATTGTTCTGTCACATGTTCTGTCCCCCTTTGTAATGTACAGCGCTGAGCAAACTATTGGCGCTTTATAAATACTGTATAATAATATAATAATAATAATAATAATCTGAAAGCGAACCTCTCAAGTATTTTTAATAACTCCAAGAGCAGACTTCTGTTGGACAGAAAATCTTTTTCCATTAGATCCTGTTTTCACTTTGTTACTAAGGACTCCATGTTCACTAACAGCACCCTTAATGGCTGCAGGGAATTCTGGATGAGCAAAAAACCTAAGGAGGAACTTCACCCAGTATTTAAAAAAATAAAAGTTATCAGCTACAAATTCTATAGCTGGTAACTTTTAAACACAGTTACTTACCAACCCATGGAGTCCAGCGCTGTCTTCACACTGCTGCTGGCTCCCCTGTGTAGCTATCTTGGATTTGGGAGCCAGTTTTGACTTCCTGATGAATAACAGCCAGCAGCCCACTGCGCATGCCAGATCGCAAGGCACAAAGAGACTAGTTCCGCAGCCTCCTGGAACATGTGATATATCCCAGGAGGCTGCAGACAGGGAAGGCGGGGTGGGATGAGGCAACGTCATCCGTGGGTAAAGACTTAAAAGAAGAAGAAAAAAAAAAAAAGACTCTCCTTCCCCTTTTAAAATAAAGAAACCTGCCACTCAGTTATAGGCTGAGGGGGGTGAACAGTACATCACTTTTTGATTGAAGTCCCGCTTTAATGAAACCAGAATCAGAGAGGTGCACAGAAGGTGGCAACACCAACCACGATATGGTTGCAAGAGTGCTCTGAGAGCTCTGAAATCTGGAGTCCTATGAAACTCTTGTGTCTTGCTTCAGCTACTCCCAAAAAGACACTCCGGGATTAAGGCCGGCTGTAGATGGATTGTTTTTTTTTTTTTCAATCAGCCAGCTGATCAAAAGAAAAAAAAAAATGACAAGTTCCCCCATCCACACAAGTGAGGAGGGTGGAGAAATCCTCCCTGCTGTGCTACTGTATCCTGACAGCCGTGATTCCTCCACTATCAGAAAACACTGATCAGCGCTGCAGCCACTGATCGAATGAAAATATTCTAACTTTCCCGTTCAATAAAAGTCGATAGTTAGATCAACTTCTGTTGAGTGGGAGCAGTCATAGATGGATTGAAATCCAGCCGGTCCCTGTTGAACCAGCAGAATTTCAATCCATCTATAGGCTTTTTACTGCTGTGTGGAGCTCTGTTCGAGAGGTTCCCCTCACTTCCTGTTCTGGTGACCACTCTATCACCAGGATAGAAATTAGGAAAAACCTCCAACAGCAACACAGATGAAATTAAAAACATTTTTTTAGTAGACTAGGGAAAGCTAGAACCACTGCCAGTTTTTTATCGCTGTTTCCCCATTGCAGAGTTTTCATCTGACTTCCTGTTTTGGTGACAATAATGCCTCCATTACTGGAAGTGAGAAAAAAAAAAAACTCCAACTAGGTCTTAGACAGCGCAAAATCCTGACAGAAGTTCTAACCCTTCCCCATTCTATTACAAAAAATACCTGGAGTTACACTTTAAAATGACTCATTAAAGTGGTTCTAAAGACTGAAGGCATTCTATGCATGAAAGTAAAAAACCTCCTGTGTGCTGCTCCCCCACAGCCCCTTCTAATACTTACCTGAGCCCCCTCTTGATCCAGCTATGTGCAGAGGAGCCTCGAGTCTCCCTCTCCTCATTGGCTGAGACACAGCAGCTGGAGCCATAGGCTCCCACTGCTGTCAATCACAGTCAGTGACAAGAGAGCAGGGGGCGGGGACGAGCCGTGGCTCTATGTTTCTTATGGCGTGGCTCAGGAGCAAGCACACACCAGTGCCCCCATAGCAAGCGGCACTGGTCAAGGGGGAGGAACCAGGAGAATTGTGGGGGACCCGGGGGCTGCTCTGTATAAGATGTTTATAAGAAGTATAAAATGTTTATTTAAATAAAAAAAACAAACAAACCTTTAGTATCTCTTTAAGCACTTCCCGACCGGCCGTTGCATATACGTTTATAAACGGCCTCCCCACACCCTGCTTGTGTGCGCTCCTTGGGAGCGCGCAGCACCGCGATCCGGTGCCCGCTGTGTCCTCCGGACACAGTGAAACACAGATCGTCGGACGGGACCTCTGTACGAGGTCCAGATCATGTGATCACTGATTGGCCAATCAGTGATCACATGCAAAGTAGTAAGCAAGATGTCACTTGTGACATCATTGCTTACTACGTGTGAAATCTGTGAATGATCACAGAGGTCACATGGTACAAGGCTATTCACAACAGCCTTGTACCATGTGACAAGCTGTAACCAATCACAGCTCACTCAGTACTTCTCAATGAGTGCAAGAATGCAGACAGTGAGAAAGAGAAATTATTGCTTTTACATCCTATATGGGTGTAAAAGCAATCAGTGTAAAAAAAAAAAAAAAAAAAAAAAAAAAATCTTCATCACTCCCCACAAGTAGTACAGTGTCACCATGGTGACACTGTACTGCTAGGGTGACAGTATGTAAAAAAAAAAAATTTAAATAAAAAATAATATAAAAAAATAAAATAAAAATGTAAAAAAAAAATGTTTAAAAATTATACTTTTTGGTTATAAACTAATTTGGATTTTTTTTTTTTTACTAAAAAGATAACGGAATAAATTTTGGCCAAGATTTATGATGAAATATTATTTATTTGCAAAATTTTATAAAAAAAACACTTTTTTTCAAAATTTTTGGACATTTTCATTTACATAGCAAACAAAATAAAAATCCCAGCGGTGAATAAATACCACCAAAATAAAGCTTTATCTGTCTCAAAAAAATGGTAAAAAATTCATTTGGGTACAGTGTTGCATGACCGCGCAATTGTCATTCAAAGTGTGATAGCGCTAAAAGCTGAAAATTGCCCTGGTCAGGAAGGGGGTAAAAGTGTCCGGACTGGAAGTGGTTAAGGATCAATATACGTAAAAAAAAAAGAAAAAAAGGGTACTGCATTTTTTTCCTCGAACACGGTGCCTTGTACAATTTTCCCTAGAGTGTAATACAACATACACCTCTATTCTCTACTGAACACAAGATATATACAGCATGCTACATAATAATGGTGGTATCATTTCTCTATGAACTGGCTGATCCCAAGACTTCAGCACAAAAAGCACAAGGAGTTGGCTTTCCGGGAAGCCGCCTGGAGGTAATACACTCCTCTTCTGTTCATATACAAAGAGGCATTGTACACTATGAAGTCTCCCACATAACAAGGTATCATTGTGTCTTCAGGCTTATCTAGTGTGTAACTCCCAGCCGCAGGCAGCTGACCTGTTCACGTCTAAAGTACACTTTTATCCAGACTCCAAAAAGCATTGTGTGCATAGAACTTCTACCCTCGGCATACTGGGCCACTAAAAACACATTACAACTTTGTTTTTATAAAAGTTTTTTATTTTTGCTTTCAGCTCAGAATTATTTTATTAACCTCTTGCTGCTCACATGTAGCATATGAGTAGTGGCTAAGAGAGTGGACTTTAAAGTGTCCATTGGCGGCTGAGGTTTTTGTGCTGAGAGCGTGCTCAATGCAAACTCCCAGCACAGTCATAGACAGCGCCTGGCCTCTAGTAATGATCGGGAGCCTGTGGGACTGGTCCGCCCTCACGTGACCACTGTGACAGCCAATCACAGTGGTCACACGATCAGGCAGTCCTTCCCGTCCCCTGGCATAAAGACTCTGTTAAAGGGACACCAGAACTGGGTGGGAGGGGGTTAAGGAAATTGTAAAAACCTAAAGTGGTGATTTAAAGTGTCATTAAATCATAATGTTAAAGCAAACGTCACAAAAAAAACAAAACAAAACAAAAAAAACACACCTACTTCTAGCTTGTTTGATAATCCAAGTTGGTTTTAGTCCCTTTGATTCAGCTCAGAATTGTTCATATTTTTTTCCATAACAGCAATTCCTTTTTGCAGTGACTGCTACTAATAGTGCTGTCTTAAAGCGGAGCTCCACCCAAAAGGGGAAGTTCCGCTTTAAGGACTGCTCCCCCGCTCCCCATTAAGGATTGGCATCTTTGAGGGGCGGGGGGGG